AAAAAAAAAAAAAAAAAAAAAAAAAGAGAAGAAGGAAGGGGGAAAGATTGCATTAGATAATTTAGATTCAAGTTTTCCTTGGATGCCCCCATAAAAATTTCATATAAAAAACATGACAGTGTTCTGTTCTGCACTTACCTTGATTGATTTTCCTTAATGGAATGTCAGAAGATGAAGGTTTCCTCAAACTATAACCATCAACACGAGAGTTTTCCACCTTGACCCGCAAAGCAATCAAAGCATCCATTTGGTTGTTCAGTGAATTAGCTTCATCCATCACCTCCTCCACCCTGTCCTTATAAAAGTTACTAACCTTGTTGTGTTCTTCATCAAGTTTTTTAGAGAATTCAGCCTCAACATGTTCTCCTTCTTCAGACTGTTGAAGGAAGTCAGTCTTGTAAAACCTTCTAGAATCATATTGCTGCAATGCGTTAAAATCTATCACTTGACCCTCTATGTCTGCGCTTGTGGAATGGCTAGGTTGCTTGTTTAGCCCACTAAATGCCCGGAGCATTGATAACTTCTTCTGTAAGTATCGTGAGGGCGTCCATGGTTGCTTACTCTGCTGATACAACGAACTTCCCCGTAAAATGCTTTTCAAACCGTTATAATCCATGTAAGCCTCAGTCCATTCTACAACCATTTGCTTCTTGAACTCCTTCCCAAATTTCATCAATGTCTTTATTTATAACAAAGAATCCCTCAGGTGGCTATGTTACCATTCCCTTATCTCTCACCTAAGCATCCAGTAGATACAAGGTCAACATGCAAGAGAAATAAAAAATATATATGACAAGAAGCTTCAGCCATGGTTTAGATATTTCATTTCAAATCTTTTATGCATATAGAATGGTGCACATCAAACAACAGAAATTTTAGGTTGAAAAAGAATGTTCAATTAGACAGTGACAATACATCAAATGCCTATCAATCTATCTTATCAGTTATGGTAAAAACTTTCCGATACCTTGATTTTGGGTCAAGATCAATAATTCAAATATCTAAAATAGCTAAGCAAGTTAGCTTTCCTTATGTACCAAAAAGAAACTATCAGAATTCAAGTAAACTTTAACTCAAATGGAGTTCCGCCAAACTCATGCCGAGTACTGAGTAACCAATATAGCATACTATTTTTTTGAAAGGCAAAAAAAATTATATTTTTGAGTATAAGGGATATTCAAACCCATTTACATAAAAAAAAACATAGAAAAAATCTGACTCAAACGTTGCCTTGCCAATTGATGGCATATTGTATGATCCCTTAAGAGATTTTACAACCGTTGGGATTTACAATCCAATCCAAAAAAGTAAAACTTCCTCCTTTCCCTATATTTTTTATCCACAAAAAAGACCTCACTTGTATTTATCCACATTCGCATGGCCCTCGTTGAATACTACCTCATTCCTGGTATTCCAAATTGTCCATACCAAAGAGTACCAAACAACAGCCCAGCCCAGTCGGTTCTTTGCTTTGGATACCATGTCTTCATGCTGCATAAAAGAATCCCTACATGTTCCAGCAAGTACAGTGCTTAGACCCCACCATTGAATGCATTTTATCCAAATTGCTGAAGCAATTATACATACAATGGAGGAAAAGGTGGTCACCATCCTCCACACATTTGTTGCATAACCCGCATGTAGTTGCTTCTATTTCTGTGACTATTCCTCTTTTGAACAGATTGAGTTTTGATGGAATCCTGTCCAATCTTGCATACTATTAATTAGGTCCAATGAAATAAAGGAGGAAAGTACTCAACAGAGAAAGATATCAGCTGTCAACTACATATACAATCCAGAGAATTGAAAAGATGGCATACTTGGAAGCAATAGAAGAGCCATGCATAAGAGAAAAAGATACAGGGATACCTTATTAATCATAAAGATAGTGAAAACCCAGACGAAATGGACATCCACCCATGGAAGCAACGTCTATACCTCCTTTGAAGCACTGACAACTGAGAGTTCTTGAGGTATCGTCATGAACCCAACAGCCTGCCTTGGCAGGGGCACAAAATGAGTCATCCATATGAAGGGATACTCGTCTTCTATTTAAGCCAAAAGAATTGATGATGTGGTGGATCCGGCATTAAATGATAGGCTTACTCATACATTTGGTGGACTATATGCCATATTATTAATTAGTAGTCACTTCATGTAATAATGAAAGTTAACCATCGTTTCACGAAAATTGTAAATTAATTAAATATTAAAATCAATTAATTTTAGTTTTATTTAAATATTTAAAATAACAAAATTTAAGTTAAATAATTAACTAAACTACTTAAAATTAAAAATTAACTTAGGGATATCAACATTTAAGATTTTAAGGTATTTGACTTCATCATATTCAACTATTATAAAACTCAAGTTAATTTACTTCGAAGCAAAGTGGAACCAGAAAATTATGTGACAGGTGTGAAATTTTTTGTTGATGACTTGAGTTCTTTAGTATTTTTTATAACATTAATTAATTTTATTAAGAAAATTTTAATTTTGATTTTTTTATTGATATATATTCTTAATAATATTAACGAAAATAAGAAAATGAACATTTTCTTCCTCTAATATGTCTAATAAATCTTTATTAAACGAATTATTTTATTAAGAAAAAAGTGAAAATAAAAATTTTCTAGTACATATTCAAAATATCAAAACAATTATCAAAATTTAAATAATTTTAATGAATTTTCTTTCTGGTCAATATATCCATTAAAAATATTTAAGTCGTTTTTATAAGCAATTTTAATATTTAATAATCAAAATATTCTAATATTCTAATTTTTTGCCACCTCTTATGTTAAAATAACCAAAAAGTAGCAGAAACAATCAACCACTGATCTATGTTAGTTCATGTTCAAGTTGAATTTTATTAAGCTTAGAAAACAAGTGGAGAGAATTGTTAAACTTTAGCTAAACTAACAAGAATTTAATTTGACCGAATTTGTATAAATTAATTTGAAAACATTAATTTGAAGTTAAGATCAAAGAATCAAATATTTGTTCTACCAAATAACTAACTTCTCCAATGTACCCAAAAAAAAAAAAAGTTTAACTAGCCTAAATCTGGACACATGTAGAAGGGATCTGATGTATTTGTGATGAGAACACTTGTAAAGATTTTTATATGAAAGGTTAGAGTACCTCTTATTTTCTAAAAGAAAGAAAAAAAAAACTGTTACTTATAAAAAAAATTAAAAATAAATGACAATGGTTCATCATTATAATACTTAAATGATAAATCAACTATTTCAAATAATTTTGCTTATAAAAAAATTAATTTAAATAATTTCAAAATCTTATTATGGATGACGGGGCAAGAAGAGGATGAAGCTGAACCTAATTTACCTTCTGTTTCTCCAGTTTTATGCCATTTATAACTAGTTGTTTGGTAGCTTAGGTTGGTGACGGAGAAAGTGGTGGAGTTGTATTACAAGGTGTCTACGGGTGACTGCACGCTCTCCATTGCCTGCAAGGTCTTAAGGGAGTTCGCTGCTGACATGAAACTTTATGCTTACCAGACAACTCATTGAGGATATATTTATGAAAGAGTAGACAGAGTCTCAACCAGTTGGATAGATACAATTAATTAGAAGTAAATTAGACAGGCTGAATTTGGTTTGTTGAACCCAAGAATAATAGATAACTACAATCTCCAACAAGAATGAAAGCAGGTAACAAGCCTGACTACTGCATCTGCATTTTTACAAGAGGAATATCATGAGTTCATCATTTAAAGACGCGAAGACAGTGGTTCACAGACGTGAAGCCACCATCAACCATAAGATTAGCTCCACTTACATACCTAGCTTCATCGCTTGCCAAGAAGAGCACGGCATTAGCCACATCATCTGCCGTCAATTCCACCCCATCTAGGTTGGCATTTTGTGCAACAAAATCTCGGAAACCTGTCCATGCATCCTCTGTTCTTTCCTCCTCAGGCAAGTGTGCCAAGGACAAGTTTGTTGGAACAGCATAAGGTGAAACACAGTTTACACGTATGCCATATTTTCCAAGCTCTGCTGCAACATTCTTGTTGAGGCCTAAAACAGCATGCTTAGACCCGGTGTAAGCATGAGGGCCTAAACCACCAATAGCACTTGCAACACTACATAAAGAGATGATCGATCCCTTTTTAAGGGGGATCATGATCCTAGCTGCATGCTTCATCCCTAAGAAAACACCCTTCACATTCACATCAAACACCTTCTCAAACTCAGATAAATCATAGTTGCGGATATCAAAACATGGTGCGCCTGATATCCCAGCATTGTTGGCCATGATATCCAATTTACCAAACTTGTTCACTGCAAAATCAACTGCTGAGCAAACTTCCTCCTCTGTTGTTATGTCACAATGGAAGAAACAAGCATTTGGGTCACCACCAAGGGATTCACACACATGCAGGCCAAGGTTGTCTTGCACGTCAGCCATACAAACTTTCGCACCATGGCTGTGGAACAAATGCACAATGCTGTCCCCAATACCCATTGCTCCACCAGTAACTAGTGCCACTTTCCCCACTAACCTGTTAAGAAAATAGATTCTTAGCTCATTAGACTAAATTAGGTGCAAGAAGATAAAGAGTGTTAGAAGTGTCCTCTTTACAGGATTCAAGGCTTCCTGCATATCAAGAGTATAGAAAGTACTTTGAGCATATCATTCTCATTGCAAAAATGTCCTATATGATGGCACTGGTTGGCACTGATTTCAAACACACAAGTTGAAAATCTCCATAAAATTATCTCTGTCCATATTGTATCACCATCCATAAACTGACTTAGGTGGAATAAAACAACTTGACTTGACTGATGAGCGTTAAAGGTGACAGTAGACCTGGCAAACATGTCAAATTGGGTAGGTTCAAATTGGGTTGCCTTACATCTTGGGTTTTTTTGCATTGGGTTATTTTGGGTGTCGGGTTAAAAGGATAGGTTTATGACCCACTCACACAGATCTCGGATTGGGTTGCGTGGACCCAACTTTTAAAAAATTAAAATTAAAATAAATTTTTTTTTTTATATTTTTCTCTATTTTTTTAACAAAGTTTAATACTAATTAACTATTTAGTTATAAAACTTTATTAAACGTTAATTTTTATTTCATGATTCAATTTTCATTCTAATCTCAAGAAAAGAAAAGGGAAAGATTATTAATTATATAGGTGGAACTAAAATATATGTCAAATATATAATACCTACACAATGTTTAGAATTTATAATTTCAAAAAAGCATTATCTTTCATTAAAAGAAAGAGACATGAAGAATTAGAGTTCAAAAAGCAAATTTAATATATATTAATATTTAGTGCCTATTCAATATTTATAAGGGTATTATACCAAAAATACAGTTTTATTCAATATTTAGAAAGGCATTATACAAAAATATAGCCCTATTCAATATTAAAGTTCAAGAGACAAATCCAAAATATGTTTAAACAAATACAAGAAGAAATTGGATTGGGATTGATTTTTATTAACTAGGAACAAATTATTAACTAAGAACAAATTAGCAACCAAGAACAAATTAGCAACTAATAGTGAACCTTGATGTTCTTGTCTTTATGCTTCTGATGGTAATGAGGGTACCTTAATCACTGGGTTTTGATTTTCAGTAGGCATTTTTACTTTTTATTTAAAAAAAATTTTTTTTTACGATGCCATACAATACAACTCACTATATGCCATCTAATTTGATTTTTGACGTGAGTGCTACCAAAGAGAAAGATTAGAGAGCTTGAGGTGAATAAGAGAAGAGCAAGAGTGGAGAAAAGGGAAAGTTGAGAGAAAGTGAAATTGACGAGAGGTTAGAGTTTGTGGTATTTTATTTATTTTTACTTTTAGAATTAGGAAATTAGAATTTTAAAATTAATTTTTAAGTAATCTAATAAAAAATAAATAAATAAAAGTTCAAGTCATTTTGGATGACTCGACCCACCCATGACCCAATCCATTTGGGTTCAGGTAATTTCAGTTCAGGTCATTTCAAATTTCACACATAAGACTCATGACTCGACTCATAGTGGATGGGTTGAATCGCATTTTTAGATTGAGTCCAATTTTACCAAGTCTATGTGACAGTATGATACCTGCTCAATGTGTAAGATTGAAATCAAATAAATGATCACTGAGCCATAAGTATATATGTTTCTCCCTTACAAAATTGAACACTGATACATACACCTTTCAAAAGTTACACACTCTGTTATACACTGACGGTTTCCGTTAGTGTGCCGTTAAAATTAATGGAAACCATTAGTTTTAATGGCAGAAATAATGAAAACCATCAATTTTAATGGCAAACTAACAAAAACTATCAGTATGTAACAGAGTGTATAACTTTAGAGGGTATATGTATCATTTCCCTACAAAATGTCAACATGTTATTTTTACTTTCTTATACCAGAACATTTCTAGTTCTTGGCACAATCATTTTTCCATTCCCTATCCTATCCACTGTTTCAAAAGTTTCAAAAGTTGCCTACAATTCTTAAACCCATTCCCATTTCCATTTTGTTTCTTCTTTATTACCTCTTTCTTCAATTATATAGCCCATCCTCCGATCCTAGGATAATACTCATATTTGACTCTAAAAAAATGATAAATATAAAGAGAATTTGATAATAAGATAGATAATTAAATTATGAGTGATAATAATAACAGGAAAAAAAAAATGGAGAGATGAGAGGCAGAAGTAGAGAGAGAGTGACTAGGAAGCAAGGAACAAAATCAGCACGGGCATGGGATCATTACAGCAGAATAGGGAGAAGCAGAGGTTTCCAGCCAGATCAGAGAGTTGACAGGGCAGCATACAATCAAGCCGTCCCATTCTTCTTCACCAACTTTCCAGGGGACTGGAATTATGAGCAGATGTGGAGAACCTTTAGAGGATATGGAAGAGTTATCGACATTCATGTACCAGCTAGGACAGATAAGTATGGAAGACAGTTCGGGTTTGTCCGATATCTTGATGTGCAGAATGTCCGCATGCTGGAGAGGGAGTTAGATCAAATAAAGGTAGGAGGGATCAAGATTCACGTAAACCAACCAAGATTTGACAGGAATGCAAAAATACAGAGGGACGGAAGCCAGAACACTGTCGAAAAGACCATCAACTTTGAAGCAAATAGGAGAGCAGATATGACTTATGCAGACATCCTTAGAGGCTCAAAGAAGAATGGACCTGGGAGTGCACAGGCCACTACTACAGAACAACTTATACAAAACAACGATAGGGACAGAAAAGCCACTCACATGACAAAAGGAAGAAAGGAATGGATTGCAAAAAGCAGAGACTCCAAATGGAAAGGGTGGGAATTCACAGCTGAGGAATCAGATTTTGAATGGGTAAAAGGGAGTTTTGTGGGGACAGCCCGAGCGGTAGAATTAATCCCAACAATTCAAGAGAAATTCTACATGGAGGGATATTTTTCTATTTCACTAAAACCAATGGGTGGGAAGCTTGTATTACTGCAATGTGTGGACAAAGAAGAGCTGGAAGACTTAGTAGCTAATGCAGGAGATTGGTTAGGACAGTGGTTCGATGAAGTAAGACCATGGTCACCGTCAATGGTTGCTACGGAGAGGTTTACATGGATAAAATGCCAGGGAGTTCCTCTACATGCATGGGGACCCAAATTCTTCCATGATTTAAGCATGATATGGGGAAAATTTATCTCCTTGGATGATAGTACCAGCAACAAAAAAAGATTTGATGTTGGTAGAGTCCTGATTTCTACACCCTGCATGGAGATGATATCAAAGAAGCTCACCGTGAAGATAAATGGAGAACTCTACAATATACAGTGCACGGAGGAAGAACACTCCAACAATCTGTTTACTTTGAGGTCTGATTTTGGGATAAAAAACATGTCCTGTAGTGATCATGATAGTGAATCTTGGTCACTTGGGTCGGTAGAAGCAGCAGGCTCCGTGAATGGGTTGCTTGCAAGATCTGAAAATCCCTCTGATACTGGAGATGAAGAAGACAATGACGTGGCACCTTGGCGTGAACGGGATGAGGAAGACTCAAAGGAAAGGCAGTGCCAGGATATGTGGTCAACTCAAGCATTAAATGAGGCATCAGAAAATTACACTTCCAAGGAGAGAAATTCAAAATCTAGCCAGGAAATGATGGGGGAAACGTCACATGGGGGTGGAAGAATGGGGCTAACGGCTGCAAATTTTGAAATAAGTAATGATGCAAGCGGGATTAACGAAGTGGAACCAATTGAAGAAAATTGTAGTTGGGTTGAAGAAACAATAGTTGAAAAAAGAGGTTCTCGGTTGGAAATGAACCAAAAAAGCAACAAGAAGGTGGATGGAGGGGTGGTTGGGCCAGAAGCGAATGGGCCAAAAAAGAAGTCCCATGTAAAATCTAAACAGACCCAAGATTCACTGCAAGCCATTATACACCTCAAGGGAACAGAGGAACAACCCACTAATGTGAGAAGCAACGGGCCAGAACAGATAAAGAAAAAAAGAAATGGGTGCAGCTCAAGTGTGAGTGAAAGCTGGAGGTCTTTTTTCCAGGAGATGGACAGTGACACTGGGACGGTGAGACAGTGGATGAAGGGGAAGGTAGAATCAAAAACTCGGAAGAAGAGTAGAAGGACAAAGGCATGTGCAGTAGTTTATAAAGCAGCCAGGCTAATCAAAATAGAGGCAAGGAAAAGAAGAAGAGGAAGAACAAAGAAGAATCAACCAACAGACATGTCCTTACCGGAGTTCATCCCCGATGTGAATTGTGCAGTGGCCGGTGAATCCATAAACGACAGCAATATCAACAATTGTAATAGGGCCATTTTAAAAAGCAAGGAGGAATTTGGAGCAAAGGAAATTTGGGAACTTGCAAAAGAAATTGGTGTAGAGACACAGGGGAATGAGGAACTTATCCTACAGAAATTGGAGCAGCTAGAGGAAAGGGACAGGAATCAACAGAAACCCAACAATCAAACACGCACTCTTGGAGGGGAAGGTATGTTCCGATGATTCTAGTGTCCTACAATGTTAGAGGGATAGGAAGTCAGTGGAAGAGAAGGGAGATAAGGAACTTGGTGGGTAAGGAGAAAGTAGAATTTTTGATGCTGCAGGAAACTAAGTTGGGAAATGTAGATAGAGGTATTTGTAGTGAATTGTGGGGGATGAATAATTTTGAATGGGCAACCATGAATGCCGAAGGTAGTGCCGGGGGTCTTTTATGTGTATGGAATTGTGATATATTTAAGATTGATAAGTCTTTCCAAGGACCAGGATACTTGGGTGTCTATGGCTTTTGGGGCATTGAAAAGGTTCCTATTTGCATTATAAATGTCTATTCACCATGTGACAGCAAAGGAAAGAATGAATTATGGAGCAAACTGGGCAACATTGTTAACTACAAAGACACAGCTGTGTGCGTGGGAGGGGATTTTAATGTCACTATCTCACAGGAAGAAAGAAGAGGGTGTCGGGGCATACAGAAGGAGATGGAGGGTTTTGAGGCGTTCATAGCAGAAATAGGGTTGATTGACTTACCAATGATTGGGAGAAGGTTTACCTGGTATCAACCAAATGGGAGAGCCATGAGTCGCCTCGACAGGTTCTTAATAAATGAGGAGTGGTTTGTAACATGGGAAGGCTTGAAACAGTGGGGTTTGATGAGAAGCATCTCAGATCACTGTCCAGTGCTATTGAAAAATGAGGTGAAGAACTGGGGGCCAAAGCCATTTCGCTTCTTTGATGCTTGGCTTAGGCATCCGGAATTCAAAGGCAAAGTGGCAGAGGTGTGGAGAACAAAGGAGCTCCAAGGAACAGGTGGCTTTATTCTCAAAGAGAAACTAAAAGCAACTAAAGTATACCTGAAGAAATGGAGCACAGAATACAATAGTGAGCTGAACAAAACAATAGAAGAATGCAAGGAAGTGATACTCCAAATAGATGTGAAAGGTGAAGCTCAAACATTGACTGAAGAAGAGCTGGAATTAAAAAAGAAGAATGAAGTCGATCTGTGGCAAAAAATGCAGATCAAAGATTGTATGGTGAGACAAAAAGCAAGAACTCAATGGCTCAAACTCGGAGATGCAAACTCAAAGTTTTTTCATCAATGCATCAAAGGCAGATGTCGTAGAAATGAAATTAACTACCTGGAGGTGGGAGGCACCAAACTAATGGAGATCACAGATCTAAAGGAAGGTGTCATGAAGTACTTCCAGGAACTACTCACAGAAGAAGATTGGGAAAGACCAACACTGGAGGGAATTGAATTCAAGAAGGTCACACTTGAGCAAAACATAATGCTGACTGCAAAATTCACAAAAGAAGAGATAAAGGAAGCTGTGTGGGACTGTGACAGTTCAAAGGCCCCAGGACCAGATGGATTCAATTTTGGGTTTCTCAAAGCAATGTGGGAGATAGTGAAGGATGATGTTGTAAAATTCGTTGAAGACTTTCATACAAGTGGAAGATTAGTAAGAGGCTCAAATGCATCTTTCATTGTTCTAATTCCGAAAAAGGAGAACCCAGTAAGAATTGAGGAATATAGACCAATTTCGCTAATCGGATGCATGTACAAAATTATTGCAAAACTACTTGCAAACAGAATGAAGAAGGTGATGGAGGGGTTGATAAGCGAACAACAGTCAGCATTCATACAAGGGAGACAGCTTATGGACAGTGTAGTTGTGGCCAATGAAACCATCGACGAGATTAAAAAGAAGAAGAAAAAGAGCCTCATCTTCAAAATTGATTTCGAGAAAGCCTACGACAAGGTTTCTTGGAATTTCATAGATTATATGCTGATGCGCATGGGCTTTGACAATGTTTGGAGGAAGTGGATTATGGAGTGTCTTCGCTCAAGCACAATCTCAGTTTTATTGAACGGTAGTGCAACAAAGGAATTCAGTGTGAGCAAGGGTCTGCGACAAGGCGACCCTCTCTCCCCCTTCTTGTTCCTTATAGCCGTTGAGGGCCTTTCAAAACTACTAGCATCCGCTGAAAAAAAAGATTTGTTCAATGGAATTACTGTAGGCTCGAAGGGGCTAAAAATTTCTCATCTCCAATTTGCGGATGACACTATCATTTTTGGAGAGGCCTCGGAAAGAAATGTCAAGGCAATTAAAAGTATCTTGAGGATCTTTGAAATGGTTTCGGGACTCAGAATCAACTACAACAAAAGCAAGTTGTATGGAATGAATATAGAAGAGGAAGTCTCTCAACGTTGGGCCATATTCTTGAATTGCAAAACGGGTAAACTACCCATGACCTACCTGGGCATGCCGATTGGAGCAAGTTTGAGAAGTAAGGACACCTGGGCAGAACTGATAAGCAAAATAGGAAGGAAGTTGGCTGGTTGGAAAAATAGGTTCTTATCCTTGGGGGGGCGTATTGTCATTATAAACTCCGTGTTGACTAGTCTTCCTGTCTTCCTTATGTCTACTTATCTCTTACCTGCTGGAGTGATA